AATATTATATACAACTTTCATTAAAAACTTAAACTGAAAAAAAAATACAGTTCCTCATGTTGTGACACAACCATAAAATTATTTTCGTTGCTACTTCATAACTGTAATGTTTCTACTGTTATGAATCATAATGTAAATGTCTGATATGCAGGATGGTCTTAGGCGACCCCTGTGAAAGGGTCGTTTGACCACCAAAGGGGTAGCGACCCACAGGTTGAGAACTGCTGCACTAAGCCAAACGGGCTAGGGCAGTTTCTTAGTATTTTTATTATCAGTTTATATGAGTTCTTTATAAGGCAATTGCCTTTTGCTTTGAAGGTGCTTTCCAAAATTTTCCCACCCACCTATCAGTTTTTACCAAGTTTCCAGATTTATGCAGCTGGGGCAGCAACCCCCTACTTGTGTGAATGCTGTCAAAGCTTTTATTTCTTGAAGCAGAAGTGGTGCTGATCCTGCAGAAAGATCTAATCGGTGTGAATAGAAGTGGCACTGATACGAGAAAAAGAGTATTAGAATCCATCCAGAATTAAGAAGGGGAGTGAGCAGCAAGGAGAAAGAGTAAAGAATTCATTGCCATTGATGATGGAAGGAGGAAGCTAAGAGATAGGAAGTGGTGGCCTGATATAGGGGTCGTCTTAGTTGTCTTCTGAAAACTTTTGTTCAACCTCTCTGTGGAACATTTCCTCATAAGCAGCTCCACTGTGGTGCATCAATAAAGTTGCTGTATGATGTGGTATGTGAAACGGCAGTCTGAATGTAATCTGTGTCTTCTTGAGTCCTCAGTGCCTTTGCTGTTCCCATCTTGTTCCTCAATATTGACTGTCTTTGCTTACTTCTACTCACTGTGCCTTGCTGCTGAAGAGCCAGGCCTCAGGATTTCTTTTAGCAATTTTTTTTCTGCTAAGTGTGTGTATTCCTTCCTTGAAAAATAAAATAGCTCTTATTAACACCTGAGTTAATACCCAAAGTATTATGTGTTAAAAGAATATTAACAGCTAAAAACCACTTTAAAGAAGTTCTCTTACTTTATGATCTAGTCATACCTTTTAATTTAGACACCTAGAACAATGATTTTCAACTGGTGTGCTGCAAGAATTTAAAAATCATCAATACCTGACTATTTAGTCAGAGGCACTGACCTCTTTTCTCTTAGATTGTCAAATAAAAAATGACAACAGCCAACACAACAGTAGCCGTCATGTGTGAATGAATAAAAATTATACCTATTTTTCTGTCAGATCGACAAAAAATATGTTTTTGGTGTGCTGCAGAATTCTAATAATTAGTTTATGTGTGCCATGAGATGAAAAGGGTTGAAAATCGCTGATTTAGAGCATGTTAAGAAAGAAAGTTCAAGGAATTAATATTAGATCAGTCATCTCCTTTAGAACTGTCAGGACTATAATTACCTTACAGGTGTTATTGTTATCTCCAATTTACCTGTGAGGAAACTGGTATCAGAGAAGTTCAGTACTTGTCCAGCATCCTATCTAATAATAGACAAACATGGTAATTGACCATACCTTCGCTACGCCTCCCATTGGCTAATCAGCGAGATATGCAAATTAACCACCAACAAAGATGGCAGTTAATTTGCATACGTAGGCGCGAAGTGGCGGAGACTGAAGACAGCTCTGGCCGGAGCAGCGAAGGCTTGAAGGTGGCTCCGGCTGCAGCAGTGACTCTGGCCGGAGCAGCGAAGGCTTGAAGGCGGCTCCGGCCGGAGCGAAGGCCTGGGTCCCGGGTGCCGGAGGAAAACTGGTGCCGGCGGAAAACTGGTGCCGGCAGCCAGGGGAAGGGAAGGCCTATTGCACGAATCTTTTCGTGCAACAGGCCTCTAGTCAGTTAATAAGCAGAGCTGGGGCCCGTGCCCAGGTCTCTCTGACTCCAGAGCTAGTGTTCTTCATTATTATGTTCTATCTGCCTTTCCATATGTGGAGACGGGGATATACATAGTCAGGGCAAAGTCTAAGGACACCCCTGAATGCAAACATGGAATCTTATCTCATCAGACTTGATCTTGTCAGCTTTTCAATTACCTGGAAGAAACAGTTTGATGGATTCAGACTATTTCCTAGTAAACTGAGTTAATGTGACATAAGTCACCTCTGTAAAAGCATATGTGCAAAATCAAAGGATCAAACAAACGATTAGAATTACTTCTGTGGTGGCTGTGGAGATTGACCATTCATAGACTGACTTGCTAATAAGGAATTTTCTAAGGGCCTAATATAAAGGAAACTCTTAATAGCAAGATGTTATTTTTCCATTAAGCAAAAGGACTTAATTTGCCAAATCTTTGTAAATCATACCTAATTGTAACCAACTATAGCTACCAGTTATGAGCACCTATTATATACTAGGAACTATGCTTTTTGTATATTCTGTTTTAATTCTCAGAACAACCTTTTGAAGCAGATATTATTCCACTTTTATAAAAGAGGAAACTGAGGCTTGACAGGAAAATAATTTCCCAAGATCACATATAGTACTTAGAAAGCAGCTAGAGTTGGGATATACAGTCAGCTTTAATTCAAAAGCTTATGCTCCAAAGAGTCATCCATGAAAGTTCAGATTAAAAAAAGTTTGAGAATACTAAATCCAATATGATAGTCAATATATTGTTTTAAGAATTTATGGTAAAACTGTGTGGTATAAGAGCAAAGTAATAACAGTTTTGAGAATAAAGGCTGCTTGTGTGGAGATAAAGGATGGAATCAGGAAGAAGCACACAGCTAATTGGTTTTGGTAATGTCTAGTTCTTAAGTTGGATGATTGGTTTGCATATATATTCTTTTGTACATATTATAAAACATTTTTAAAAGCTCACATATTTGTATTATGTCCTATTGTCATTCATTTCACTTTCATAGGAACCTTGATAAAGGTCACTGTTGATCCTTGCCTAGACTTGTTTTTTAAATATTGCGGTGTCAATATTTAAACAAATTTTTAAATGAAAAGTGGTATATGCTCCCTGAAGAAAATTGGCAACATAGAAAAATAATCATCCGAAATCATCACCCAACACCCCCCCCTTCCTACCCACTGAATTAGTTGATATTTTAGTATATTTCCTTTTAGTCTTTATTTTGAATTCCTGCTTAGTATTTTATCCTGTATTTGAGCATTAGGTTATTTAATTTTTTTATTGTTATAAATAATGCTTTGATAAAATATCTTTATTTTACAGTCTCATCTAAATTCACATGATTCCTCAGAGTAGATTCCCAAAGTATAATTCATGGGTCAGAAGATATGAGTTATTTTAAAATTCTTGATATATATTGTCATATTGCTTAAGTAAAAATTTCAGCTGTTAAAGAAAAGATTGAGCTATATATTTTATACACAAGTACTAGTAGGAATTAGATAAGTGGCTGTTTTTCTAAGACCTCTAAATTATTCAATACCTCATGGACTGAGAAAACAAAAACAACCCAATTAGACCAAAGGAGTTGAATATACTTTTTTCAAAGAAGATATACACATAAAAAGATGATCAACAGCATTAGTCATTAAGGAATTAAAAGTTAAAAAACGCTATGAAATAATACCTTATACCCAGTAGGATGGCTATTAACAAACCCGAAAATAACAAATGTTGGCAAAACTATGGAGAAATTGGAACCCCAGTATATTGTTGGTGGGAATGTGACATGCAACCACAGTGGAGAAAAACATAATGAAGTACTGACACATGCTATAACATGAAAACATGTTAAATGAAGGAAGCCAGTTACAAAAGCCCATATATTGTATGATTCCATTTATAGGATATGGCCAGAATAGGCAAATCCACAGATTAGTGATTGCCTAGAGCTGAGAGTTTGGGGGAAAATTGAGAATGAATGTTAATAAGAACAGATTTCTTTTTCAGTTAACAAAATGTTCTAAAATTGATGTGGTGATGGATGTACAACTCTGTGGATATACTCAAAACTATTGAATATATGTGAATTATAGCTCAATAAAGTTTTATATTGAAACAAAAAAGAATGATGATAGCAGAGTCAGGATGGTATTGGAGGTATGAGGATAGTGGAAAAGATGTGAAATAGACTCTGGGAGAGTACAAGAATTTACTGACTATGGAAACATAGTAAGATTGGTAGGCAGTACTTGAGGGACCTCTTGAGGTTTGTGGACTTAAATATAATGTGAGCCCAGTTGGCACTGTTGTGCTGCTTAGGTAGGAACAAATAATAGGTGGAGTGCTGGATTTAACCAAAATTGGGTTTTGCCAGGGAGTACAAAAGAAATTAGAAATAAGTTGAGGGAATACTCAAGGGAATGGTTAGATAACTGTGAAATCTAACTTAGGGAAGAAGGAAATTGAGAACATAAGAGGGTGAAGAACACTGAAAAAGGTGATAGTTTGGAATTAGATATCCTAGAGAGGCTGAGAAATTATTGGAGTTAGGATATTTAGAGGGAGTCAGAAAAGAACAGTGGTGGTTATCAGAAAATGGGACATCTGAAATTGTCAGCTTGCAAGTGGCACTATTATTATTGACAAGCTCAACCAGGGTTTCTCATTGGAATCACGAAACATAATGAACAGATTGTTATCCTACTTCTCTCAATGATGGTACAAAACTGGTACCAATCATTCTAAATGTAGCAGACAGAGATTAACTCATCACATACAGTATATGCCTTAGGGCATTAGGCTTACTTCTCTCTCAGAACCCCCCTTGAGAAAGGCTGGGATGGTCATCAAGGAACTGAGAGGCAAGAGCATTCGATGCATCATACTTTAGGTTGAAACCTATAAAATCTACAACTTGATATGCTTCAGTGTAATACAATATATAGATATTGAAATCACCAAGAATGATGACAGGAGTGGTGAAGAGAAAGACAGTGATATATTAAAATTTTCAGTGAATGGTCAGGAAGTGTCGGTGGCTGGTGGAGGGCAGGTGACCAGGAGAATAGGTTATGACTACTTCAGGGTTGGGTAGCAGGGGTAACACCTGATTTGTGCTTCAAACTAGGTTTTTCCAGTAGACTGGAAGCAACAAGGAGGAGGAAGAGGATATCTACCCCAACTCCAGGTCAGTAGTACTGTGGTGTAAGGAAGAAGAAACAAGCCAGTATTTGAGAAGGTACAAGGCAAAGAAGTATCCTCAGAGGACAGCCGTCTTTCAGTGAGAGCAAGAAGATGAAGAGAATGTTCAGAGGAGGTTGAGAATATGGGGGGAGGTGGGGTGGGAGGGGGCGGGCGGGTTTGTTGATCACTGACAGGAATTCCAGAAGGCAGAGTCATTTCGAGAGTAGGAGTGGATGATTGGGTCAGATTAGAAAAGCCCTCCCAGATGACAGATTAGAGTTATGTGGGGATGAGAGATGCCAGGGAGGCTTGGATTTCTTGTGGTGTCAAGGTAAACAAACTTAAGGCAAGTTTTATCCTAGTTATCTCTTAAAGGGGCAGTGCTAGCCAATAGAACTGTCTGTAATGACAGAAATGTTCTATATTTGTGGGGTCAAATATGAAAGCCAGTAGTCACATGGCTATTGAGCATATGAAATATGGCTCATGGGACTGAGCTGAATTTTAAATTATATTTAACTAGAGGCCCAGTGCATGAAATTCATTCATGCACGGCAGAGGGGAGGGGAGTCCCTCAGCCCGGCCTGCACCTTCTTGCAATCTGGGACCCCTCGGGGGATATCCAACTGCCGGTTTAGGCCTGAACTGGCAGTCAGACATCCCTCTTGCAATCTGGGACCGCTGGCTCCTAACCACTTACCTGCCTGCCTGTATGATCGCTCCTAACCCCTCTGCCTGCCTGCCTAATTGCCCGTAATCACTTGCCTGCCTGCCTGATTGCCCCTAACCCTCGCCTTCCTGCCTGATCACCACTAACCACTCGCCTGCATGCCTGATCACCCCTAACCACTCTGCCTGATTGTCCCTAACCACTTTGCCTGCCTGCCTGATCACCCCTGACCGCCTCTGCCTGCCTGTCTGATCTCTCCTAACCACTCGCCTACCTGCCTGATTGCCCCTAACCACTCGCCTGCCTGCCTGATCTCCCCTAACCACTCGCCTGCCTGCCTGATTGCCCCAACCACTCGCCTGCCTGCCTGATCGCTCCTAACCACTCTGCCTGCCTGCCTGATTGCCCCTAACTGCTCGCCTGCCTGCCTGATCACTCCTAACCACTCTGTCTGCCTGCCTGATCACCGCTAACCACTTCTGCCTCAGCCTCTGCTTTGGCCTTGCCGCTGCGGCTTCGTCCAGGAAGTCGTTGGAAAGGATGTCCAGAAGGTCATTCGGCCGCTGGTCTAATTAGCATATTATGCTTTTATTAGTATAGATTCTAATTAAGATTTAAATTTAAATAGCCACATTGCTATTAGGCTAGTTTCTTAGGGGAGGTCAGCAGCATTGAGGCAGGCAGCATGCAGGTGAAGTGCACCTTTCCTTCTTCCTCTTACAGCCCACTGAGGAAGTGCCTGGCTGGGGGAGGGGCACTTTTAATAGGAACATACACAAGTCTGTGGCCTCCTGTTATTTTCTGCTGAGGTGGTTTTGAGGTTGAGGGAGATAAATTGAAGATGACAAATCTCTCTTCTTTGTATATATAATTTCTACTCCTCAAGGAGCCATTTGTTTCACTGTTATAGTTGTAGGCCATATGTTTTATTTGTGATTGCCTGTCTTTGGATTTTTGGAAACAAATGTGCTGATATTTACATAGTATTGATAATTGTTCTATAATTCTTTGATTATTTGCTGTTCATTCTGTTTGTACAAATCAGTATGGGAACCATTTAAAAGTAAGACCTAACCCAAATTTTAGACAGGCTGATAAGTGCTTATCCTAAGGATGGGTTTAAATATTTAGCTAAGGCTAAAAAATAAGTCTGGAGGAATAATAATGATAATTACAATTAACAACTTATGTTTGCTGAGTGCTTTCTGTGGGCTGGAAACTCTTACAACTTATTTGGATTATCTGATGTGATTCTTACCAAAACTCATGAGAGTAGATGCTGTATCATCTCATTTTGTAGGTAAGTCAAACTAATACTCAGGTTAAGTTATTTGCCTATGGTGAATAGCTAGTAGAGTCCCAATTTGGACACCATTTTGTCCAACTCTAAAGTTAGTGTACTTTATTCCACCAGGCATTACTGCTTCCTTTTGTCTTAACCGTGCCAAGGCAAGTCCATAGCGCAGCTCCTTAGGGTGTTTCCATCTCTCAGGTCTTAGTGACATCCTTCCTCTCCTCCATTTTGCTTACCTTGCCTGGTGGTTGTTTTTCTGGTAGTTGTTCTCAGACTCCATTGTTCCCCTTTGAAATCTTTGGCTGTTGTCATCAGCAGCAAGGGTTTTGGATTTCAGTTTCATATTGAATTCTCTGCCTGCCACTAGTTGAAGTGACTGTCCCAACCCTCATAAACTGGAGTTGGAAGCTCCTTTAAGAGCAACTTTTCCGTTCCTTTGTAAACTTATACTGGTCCGTCCTTACTCTAACATTAAATAATAGAATTAGCATGTGGTTCCCAGCAATCTGCCAAGTCTCTCCCCTCAGATTCTTTTCTACCTGCCTACTCACTTACTACTTAGCACTTTTTCTCTTCCCATCCTTTACCCTTTTATTTCCCAGGAGAGGCAGCCTGCTCTTATAGAAGAACATATGCTTCTTTTAAGTCAGACTTGTATTGGGGTTTGTTGTTGTTTTGGCTTTGTGATCTCGATCAGGTATTTAATATTTCATCATCTATAAAATACAGATAATGACATATGCCTTGTAGGATTTTGTTCTAAGGATTGAGATTAGTTTTATAAAGTCTCTGGTACAGAGCAGGTCCTCAAAAACAAGAGCTCTTTTTCCCCCCTTGAATCCATTGCTATGATTTAATTGGCAAATATTTATTAGTGTCTAATATGTGCTAGATTTTGCTGAGGATGCTGAAGAGATCAAAGCAAAACTCAGAATCTCTAAATTCAGAAAGTTGCATGATGTAGAAAGGAGACTGACATACAAACAAATAACAACAAAAATGTGCTAAGTGCAATAGTGGTATCTATAAAGTGCTAGAAGCAATTAATTTTTTTTCCAGCCCTGTCTGTGGAGTGGTTTCCAAGTATTTCTTTTGGAAAAAATACTTGGTAGTCAAGATGGGGGAACAAATGGAAAGAGAGAGAGAAAAAACAACCCTTAAAAGTTTCTGTAATCTGTGAGGTGCCAACCTTTTAAGATTTGATTTTAGCAGTGCCCTTGATAAAATCTCTCATGAAGTCCTTGTATATAAGATGGAGAAATGTGGGCTGGCTGATAGAGTAGTAGGAGGATTTGAAGGCTATACAACTATGTCCAGGATATTTTTCTCCTGCAGTACTTCCAATCTCTGGGTTGGAAGGAACCTTAGAAATAGATTACCTACTTTCTCTGTACTCTGCTCTCTTTTTCTCCCTTTTAATTTTTAATTCAACAGTACAGAAAGTATATGGTAAAAAAACATACCATCTTCCTAATTCAGTCCTCAAGTGTCACTGTCATCCTCCCCAGAGACAAACACTATTAATAGTTACTTGTGTGTATCATCTTGTTTTATTCATCTCTCTTTATACTTGGTGTTATAGTTATTTGAGTGTATATGTTGTCTCCCTTAATACATTGTAAGCTCCTTAGGGCAAGAACCCCATCTCATAATTTCTTATATCTCCCCAAATTACTCACATATTGAAGATTCTCTGTAAATATGGATGAAGATGCTTTCATATATGCAGATGACACAAAACTGGAAAAGAGAGCTAATAACATTAGATGACAGGATCAATATTGCAGATGAACTTGACAGACTGCAATGTTCGCCTGAAAAGAACATAGACATTCCTGGATGGTGTGGCTCAGTTGTTCAGGCATTGTCCCATGCACTAGAAGGTTGCCGGTTCAATTCCTAGTCAAGGGCACCTGCCCAGTTAGGGAGCATTCAGGAGACTGTCCATAAATGTTCCTAGTATACTCTCACATTTTCGATGTTTCTTTTTCTCTCTCCCTCTCCTTTCCTCTCTCTCTAAAAATCAGTAAACTATTACCAAACCCCCCCCGCCAAAAAAACCAAAAACAAACAAACAGGGACAAATGTAAAGTTCTGTGTTTAGGCGGGGGGGGGGGGGGGGGGGGGTAGTGGAATACACAACAGCGTAGTTACCCAAGTATAGAGTTAGGAGATTGGTCTTGATAACGTTTTATTGAAGATGATTGGGGAGGGTAGGGGATGGACCTTAATTGCCGTAAGTTCAATTTAAGCCAGTGAGAATTTTGGTTGGAAAAGTATAAATCTCTCCCTCAGATACTGCAGGTTGGGTAGTACACAAAAACCTGTTTTGGTGTGAACTAGGTTTTTAGGTCTCATGGCAAATAAGGGATAAATAGATCTCATTAGCAAATACGGACATATCTTATAGCTGGCAGTTTCAGTACATATGTTACAGGTATTATTCTCTGTACTAAAAAGAAGTTTCTTAGTGCATGTCTCCCAGTGGAGTAGGATTTTAAACTTTGCTTCTTCGTACACATTTTATCTTTTATATTCAGAGTCTACTGCTAACTGATAGTTTTTCTTCATTTTTTGTTGAAAGTGTTGACTTGCAGACAAATAGAGGCCCAGAGCAAGAGGGACTGTGGGATAGTGGCCCAGACTTCCCTGGACATTGAGAAGTAAGTATGTATGCTGTTTTTAGGGAGCTCTTGTTTAACATACTGCTGCTTGGGTCAAATAAAAAGACCAATTTTTCTCTTACCCTGGGTTTCTTTGGCCTGCCAATCACTTTGTTGCTTGGATGCCTGAATTTCTTTTTATTATTCCCATTTTATGTCAGTGTATGTGGCCTCTGTATATCCCTTTTTATTACCCTAAAAAAATCCTGCTACCCACTCCACTTCCACATTGCTCTTACTTTAGAATCAGAGCATAAGTGAAAATAGTAAAGCTAAATTTCAATATATTAGTTTTATAAAACAGTTTAGGTATGGTGCTTTAGTAGAATAGAAGAAAGCAAGAAAATGTGTCACACTTATACCAAATTAAGGATATTGAGTTATGTTACTAATGTCTGCAACTTTAATTTTAACATCTGCCAAAATAAACTTTATTCCTTATAACTTAAAATGTGTGCGTGTTTGTGTAATCGTTTATTATGTACAGTTAACCCCCCACCATTTTGGCTTTATTAAACTAATTTTAAAATTAATTTTTTTCTTTGAATTTGCATCTTGGTGTTTTGGGGAAGCAGTGAGCTATTTTGTGATATAATGATAACGGAAGTTGAGTTGCAAAAGGTTGGGCAATATAGAAGACTTCCTTGGGTTGTGGGTTGCAACTTGACAAGAAAGCACATTTTAAGGGGTTGGGTTTGAGTGCTTTCTCCCAACAGTAAAGATATTACCAAAGTACATTAGAGCAGTTAGTCATTAGGCAGAAACGTTTACCTTAGAAACACAGATTTAGACCCTACATTTTAGAGTTTCCTTCCCTAATCCAGTTGAGCAGAGTTCATCCCTTGCTCCTTTTGGAATCACTGTCATGTGGACATTCTTCTAGGACTGTCTTCATCACAGTGTATTGCAGTAATTTTCTTTTGTTCATTTTTGACATTTCTGTTTCCCTGGCTAGGCTGTTAGTTATCTGAAGGCAGATGCTTGTCTTCATTCATACTCTATTCTTCAGCATCTAATAAAATTTGTCTGAGACAGCAACAACAATAAAACCTATTTGTTGAGCGCCTAATACTGTGTACCAGTCATTGTGCTAGGTGCTTTATTTACTATATAACTCCTACAATAGCTTTTAAGGCAGTTATCCTTTTTTCTTTTTTTAATAAAGAGACTGAAGAGAAATTGTAAGTAACTGGTTGTGATCATGAGGGCAGAACTGACAGCCTACTTGACATGCTCCTTCCTCAGTGATGCCATCTTTCACATAGTAGGAGATTAATAAATGCTTTTTGCATTACCTGATAAACTGTGTAAGGTACACTGGTCTGCTTTTCTCATAAGGAAGAGTTTTACTTGCATTCTCCGAGATGATTAAATACTTGAGACTTATTTCTTCTATTTTAAAAACCTCTAGAGAAATTTTTCCTTAGAGCCAATCCAAATTTCCCTGGCTGTAGTAATTGAGTTGTAATGGCCAGAAAGAGAAGTCTAAGATAGCAAACTTTGAAAAGTTTTCCTTAGCTTCTTAAAACTGAGATGATCTTGAGTCAGGCAGACCTGGCTTCTGACAATTATTAGCTATACAACCTTGGGGAGAAAAGTACCTTCTTAGTAGGGCTGGAGATTGAGAAATTGTGTTTAAAGCACCTTCCACCATTATTAAATACTTAATAATTGTTCATTTTCTTCCTTTGTTCTCAATGATTCCATTTTCACCAATGTCCAATTAGCCTTACTCAAGGATACAATTTCATCTCTTTCCACAAACTCAACTGTTACAAAACAATAAAAATAACTGTGTATGAAATTATGCAGAAGCCTTTGGCAGAACCACATGGTTTTGGTAACTTCCTAGTTGATGTTGCAGGTTATAGAATTAAGGAAGTCAGCATATGGACAGACTTGATTTACTAGTCAGACAAGTTCATCTACCCTGGTAAAGTTGTCATCTTGGTTTAATGCTCTGTGAGCTCCCTTTTCTGTCTAAATTTTAACTTCCCTTTGAAAAAACGATTACACTTAATTTCAGAAGAGTTTGACAGAATATTTTATGTCTGAAGAGCAATCAACATTGAGATAGTTAGAAGTGCTGATTTTATTACCATCCCACGGCTGCAACAGCAGGGTACAGAGAAACAGCCAGGGAAAACCACTAATCACTCAGTCCTTTTGATTGTCATTGGGTTAGTTTTATTGGAGGCCCTGCTGAGCAAATCTGCATTGGTTGACATGTCTTCTCCACAGAATAACTTTGAGACATAAAAACATGATTTGAGACATATCCAGGAGCCCAGTGGCAAAAGCAAACCTTAAAACTGCTTTTTCTCTCTTTCTTCTGATTGGCTAGGCATGAGAAGTGTTATCTATGTAAATCCCTGGTCCCATTTAAAGAGTACCAAAGTCATGTAGAGTCCTGTCTCCGGCTTGCAAGGGATGACCAAGGAGATGGGCCTGCAGAAAGTGTGAGAGTATACTCAGCTGAGGAGGGGAAGCAGTGGCAGTGGCTGAGGAACCCAAAGGTATGTGGAGTGTTTTAACAGGAAAGGCTACCAAACCTTCCACAGTTCTGTTCTGGGTTTTTTCTCCTCTCTTTTTCTCCCTCCTTTTCTTCTGTTTATCTTGAAACAAGATTTGTGCTTTAAAAATTTTTTTCTTTTAATTAAAAATAATATGTGTTCATTGTAGGAAATACGGGAAGTAGTTTTTTATAAGTATGAAGATACTGAATGTAAACTATAATAAAAAATTAAAATAAATTAAAAAGTATGAGGAATCAGGGGACATTATCAACTATAATTTTTCCAGTCTTTTTTTCTATGCATTTTTAATGTAGTTGGCACCATACTGTGTGTGTGTGTGTGTGTGTACACTTAACATTGTAGCATAAACACCTTTTTTGGTTTATTTTTAAACTGTTTTTAAAAATTACTCAATATTTGTATCACACAGTCACTTACTAGTAATCATTTTCATTATTGAACATTCAGATTCTTTCCAGTTCTTCTGTATTAGAAGACTGTTTAAAAAATTAATTAGTCATTGTACCACTGGTTATTTTCTTAAAATAGATTTCCTGAAGTGGAATTCTTAGAGCAATGCATATAATTTAAAAATCTCGTGAAACATACTGTCAAATTGCTTTCCAGAAAGGTTATCCAATCATCCCCCCAGTGTTGATATGTGAGATCAGCCCTCTTGAACGCTGTGTGTGCCTGGCCCTAGGGAGGTGTGGCTCTGGCCTCTGGTTGCTGGGAAGATGGATGTGCTTTCTGGGCTTTGTGATTAGAGATTAGGAAGAGCAAGTCTTGGCTTAGAGAGAAAGATAAAACAGCAGCTCCATGTTATAGGCTTACATAGCAATCACTGTATGCTAAGATGAAGAAGCCATTATCCATCATAGAAGAAAGCAACCCCTGTATGAATGGGGTGGTTTGTGGTGGTGATTTGGAGTTGGGTTTTATAGGTATGTGCTTATACCATAGAGCCAATTTATTATTCTTATCACTGCCCCTAGAATTTACCTAAAAATTGTCATTTTCTGTTTTAAATCTCTCGAAATCTATCATAGGTCAAAGGCTACTTGTGTTTAATATGATCTTGGTGGAATAATTTGCCTTCGCTCGAATTCGTTCTTAGATAATATTGGCATAAAGATGTAGTCTCTTCATCACGGTTTGCCTTTTAACTTGTGTACCCTCATTTATTAGAAAGCAAAAGACTTTCTTAGAGGTGCACCTCCACACCTCTTTCCTTAGGAGACAGGTGTGATCTGGGCTAAGGAAGTTGTATTTTAGATTCTCTGCTATGAGGTAACCCTTCCCTTTCATCTATTTATCTCTGCCACAGGAAAAAGGCCGGAGTGAAGGCCGACTCCTCAGTCTCTTGGAGCAGTCTGAGCACAAGACTGCAGGTGAGGACCCCGGGACCAGTTTTCTGGGCTTTTGGCCAAGGCCTTCTAGTGAAAAGAACCACTGCCAACTCCCTATTTGTTAGAGTTGTGTGGGTACACATTTCACCTAAGTAGCAAGCCTTTGAGACTTGGTCTAGGTCATCTCTCCCTAAGAAAGATGGGGAGATAGCCTGTCTTATTCATCATGCATTTCATTTCATGTTTTATGAAGCCTAAACTTCCAGGACTGTCTGTTGAACTGGGAAAAAACATTTCCAGATGACAGGGCAATGACACAAGCCCCAAGTACCTTCTAAAGCAGAGGTGGGGAACTTTTTTTCTGCCAAGGACCATTTGTCTATTTACAACATCATTCACAGGCCATACAAAATTATCAACTTAAAAATTATGTTACTATGAAAAAAGTGCCTAGAGTTATTGAATTTCAAGTCCTGCCTGTGGTTGCCTTGGCAGAGCCAGACCAAATGATAGG